CAAAAGGTTTTTCAGGCATATACCCCAGGCCTTCTTTCCAGAGCAAGTTTTTCTAACAATGAGTCTCCTAATTTAGCTTTTTTTTTTTGTAATCCAGATAGACTGAAAAACTTCCCAAACATTCAGTGCTCAGTGCTTTTTACTTACCAGTTCTCTCAATTTATCTCTTATCAAATTTTACTATAAACACCAAGTACAAACCAGATTTCACCTTTAACACTTGGGAAATATCGTCAGCTACATATGCAAGTTCCTCACTTAAAGTTCTGACTTCCACACAGCTGTAGGACACAATTCAGCTTGGTTTTCTCCCACTACATAACAAGGACCTCTTCCCCTCCAGTTTCCAGTAACATGTTCATCTGCTTCTGAATCCTAACCAGAAGTGCCTTTGAAATCTGCATTTCTACCTAAGAGGCTTTTTAAAGAAGTCTAGATATTTTCTATCATATGATTGATTCTAAATTCTTCCAGATTCTACCTAATGTCTAATTCCAAAACCAATTCCACATTTTTAAGTAATAAATTATCACAAACTAGGTAGCTGAAAACACGACATTATTCTGGAGAAGAGAAGTTAGACATCAGTATCACTGAACCCAAGTCAAGGTGTCAGCAGGGCCTTTCTCCCTCTGGAGGCTTTAGAGCAGTTTGTTCCTTGCGTCTTTTAGCTCCTGGTGGCTGCCAGAATTTCTTGACTTCTGGCTATATCACACCAATCCTCAAGGCCAGAATCCTCAAATCTCTCTCTGCTGTTTTTAGCTTTTCCTGTGGGTTGTATGGTAAACTCTTCTGTATCCCTCTAAATATGTATAATGGCAATTAGGGGATAGAAGATAATCTGGGATAAATACCCTCATCTCAAAATCCTTAAGTTAAATCACACTTGCAAAGACCCTTTATTGGAGGGCAATATTAACATTCACAGGTTCCAGGGATTAGGACATAGGGTATGGGGGTCACTTTTCAGCTTACTGTATAAATTCATTTAAAAAATTCTTGCTTACGTTTTGCTATGAAGTCTTTTCAGAAGTGTCTCTTCATTGCAAAGTGTTATCTGGTTTACTTTAAATTTAAATATGTGAATACTTTCCATGTATGGTACTCTTTTTTTTTCATCTCTCAAACTAGTGAGGTCAAATGTGTTAAAAGCACAATGAACATGGCTAATCTCCCTATTTGGTAAGGGGGAAACGATTTCAATATTAGAGAAAACAATCTGCAAACCCAGGACTTTTAATTTGCACATTATTTTAAAGCTTAAAAGAATGCCCCCCCCACCAGTTAAAATGGATTTTTTCTTTCTTATCAGCATGTTTACAATTCACTAGAAATTGTTGGCCTGACTTATTACAGTTTAGGTATTTACATGCAAAGTAATTAACCAGGTTACATATCCTGGCATTTTGACCAGGGGATAGTGTGACAGTCCTTTTTGCTAGTGACAACCTTTTAGAACATTTTATTCCCTATCAACATCTATCACCTTTCTTAGTCTGTTTCCCTTTCTAAATAAGAATCATATACATAATATCTGGGCTTTTGCCAGGTACATCATAAAAAAAATGTGGAAAAGAAAACTTAAAAGTTTCCTAATTATTTGAAGATACTTGTGCATTACCAGCACTCACCCAAGAACCAGGACCCAATCTGACAAAAAAGCCAAGTCAAGCCAAGCCAAGCCACATTTGGATTATTTGATTTTGTGTCTGTTAATAGTTTTTGCTTCCTTATGCACAGATATTATCAAATATCTTGATAAACACTTTGAAATTGAAATGAGCTAAAATTACCTTTAGTCTATAGCACTTAACATGATTTTCATACAAGAGATAGCCTGTGTGGCTAAGCTAATTACTGGGACCAATCTTTGAACTTTTGCCACAAGGATGTACTAAAAAGTTAGTCAAGAGTCTTGACCCAGTAGTTCAATTGGTTAGAGCAGTGGTCCCTAACCTTTTTGGCACCAGGGATGGGTAGAGGGGAGACAGGAAGTGGAGCTCAGGGAGTAATGCCAGGAAGCTTCGCTTGCTCTCTGCTCTGGTTTAGGTTTCTGGTTTCTAACAGACCACTCTAGGGGGTGGAGGGAGCGGGACCCTTGGGTTACGGCACTGCCCCATACACCAAGGTTGCAGGTTCTATCACTGGTCAGGGAAATCAACCAATAAATAAGTGGAACAACAAATCAGTATTTCTCCTCTCCCTTCCTCTCTCTCTAAAAATCAATCAATAAAACTTAAAAAAAAATTGGTCTAAGTGTGGTTTAAATATATTTTCTTTACTAATATTTTTACTTATAGAAAATGTAGAAACTAGAATAAAGTTACATATAAGTCTGCCAATTAGATTATTCTTAGCACTATGGCATATTCCCCTGTCTATAAAATGTGTAAACATATTCTTGGAATTAGGATAATACTGTATTTAGCTATTTCTCCTCTGTATTAGCAAATATTTTCTGACTACAGAAAACCCACTGTGTGTAGATGTTATAATTTATGTAAAACCTGAGTAATTTTCAAAATTCCAAATAATATTGTAGAGAGCATCTTTGTAGATTTATTTGTATCTGGTTCAGATTCCACAAGATACATTCTTAGAAGCAGAATTTAAGTTTCCTGTTATTGTCATTTTCTAAAACGGGCATACCCATTCAAACTCCCAGGATGCCCATATCTTTGCCAACATCTGATACCGAAAAAAAAAAAAGAAAAAAAAAAAAAGCCATTTCTAATTTGGTATTTAGTATTAGAGAAAAAGGGGAAGCATTTCATTGCTTTCCTATTGAGGTTGAGATATACTTTCATGAAATTATTATAGCTCCTTTTCATTCTTACTTATGTGTACCTCTTTCAAATCTCTCAAATCTTTTTCACCCTATTAGTGAGATGGGCTTCTCTTTTAGAAATCGTCCCCAGGATACTTTCTTTTCTGCTATCTTAAGACAGGCAGATTAACCTGTCTTTAAACTGCTTTCAAAACCTCACCTCCCATTCTATTTCTTACTACACATACAGTTGGTTTGCTGCTGCTACTGCTGCTGCTACTACTAAAACAACTACTACTACTTTTTCCACTAGCCTGAGAGATCCCACACACTCTTGCCTTTATTTTAATTCTACTTCTGGAAAGGCCTTTGACCTAATTAATTTCCTCATCCTCTTGGCCTCACCCTAAATTAAACTTCTAATGATCTATCCAGATTCAGCTCAGGCATGTCCCTCACAGGGTAACTATGTCAATTATCTCGCACAGTCCATACCATTTACCAAATATTTCCATATCATTAGTCAACCTTCTTCGAGCTGTCCTTGTCTTGATAATTAATACATTAAATGCATTAAGAAAACTTAATGCCTTGTCTATTTTTAATCTCCAAATTGTTTTTTAAAACATTAGTTTCTCAATACGGATTATGTGAATAGTTAAGAATGGACAATCTGTCTTCCTTGCTTTCTAGAAGCTAAAAAGCATCCCCTTCTTTTTGTTTTATATAGAACGAACAGTTCTACATTTCCAGCACATTTATCATGTCATGAAGCGAACAGAACTGTTGGTTCAACAAGATAAACTAGTACTATTGACATACCCAAGAAAGTCCCATGCTGCCTCCAACACTATTACATTCCTTTCTTAAATATTATTTTAATGAACCTTTCAATATGTTCCATGTAATATTTCTTAATAAATGTATAAAGATTATAAAGAGCTGTGCTCAAAAAACTGAGAGGAAGAGAAAAGGACAACAAAAATGAAAGAAACTTTAGCATGTGCCTTGCATCTTTATACAATTAGCTTTTTTTTATCTTCTACTCAACAAAGGATACTCGTTCCTTGAAAGCACATAAAACCAGTTAAAACTTTTCTCCAACATCAACAATAATTTCTCATGCTTTCAACTTGCTGAACTGAACACAAGAAGCAAATTATGATGTCCAAAAATTACCAAAACTTATCAAATTCCAAGTTCTTTCTCCTAAAGATACCTTTGTACCCACGTTTTATCAGTAACATGAAGCCAGAATAGTGTCACCAATCTATTAGGTCATATTCAAATGTTAAAGAACCACTATGTGCTAGTCTAAGGGCCCATGGTCCAGTGACAGTCTAAAAACCTATAGTGATTATTTTTCTAATATTTCACCTTAACAGTATTTTCCAAAAGTAGAAGTCTGAGACAAAATGGAATTACAATATAAAACAAAACCTGGCCAATTACCACCACTTGGGAAGCACTGCTCTGTGATATACTTGATGACCTTTTCCCCAGTAATTATACACAGAAAATCTTATTTTTATGGTCCATGAGAATAAACAAAAAAACTACTAGAGGAATATAAAAAGGCCAAGAAGTCCCTAGGCATCAACACACCCATTTTTGTTTTTCAGATTGATCATATCCACAGCCTTTTAATTCTAGTTTTCTTCTTCCTTGTAGCTTTCTGTTTTTTTTTTTTAAAAAATTGCTCTGTATCACCTTTTCCATCTCTATGTATCATGTTATAATTAATTAAGTCTTTGTATTTGTTAGATTATAAACTTGGAACAGGAAAAAGAATTTATAATGTGGTACATTTATTATGAACTATATACTATTCTGTGTAGTAACTGGTAACAAGGCAACTAATGCAGAGTGAAATGCTGCTTATTAGTTGGTTTAAATACTTTCAAGCTCTTCTTTCCACTTCTTTTTTTAGGTATAGAAGTGTGAATAAGGTAGGAATAGAAAAAACTGGGAATGAATATCGTACAATTTCCCCCAGGAAATCTGTTTTAGTCAACTGCAAATTTTGAAATTATCTTCAGACTCATTAGAATATCTGGCCTGTCCCCCAGATAAAGTAGTTTGGAACACAGTAGCTAAAATCTAGTGAACTATTCCACTTTTACCTCACGTCTCTTACAATTACCCAGAAAACTAACAATTACAGAGAACACAATCATTCTGCAAAATTTGAAAAAAGAACACAAAGAATTATTTATGTATACTTTATACATACCAGTTTGGCTTGTGCTTCTGCAATTTTTCGGTTATTCTCTTCCAGTATTCGTTCTAGCTCCTCACGTTTTGCACGTTCTTCCTCCTAAAGGGGAGGACATGTTAAGATGTTAGAAAAATAAAATGCTTATTTTTATTGATAAATATTTACTAATCTTCCTCTGCACTTTTTTGATCTGACTTACAGGGTAGCTTTATAGCTACCTTCTGTCTGACAAATGATAAACTGTGCAGCCACTAAAATTTGTTTCTAACCCTAAATTTCAATCATCCCTCCCAGTCCAAACAGCAACCGACTAAACCCTCCCTAATTGATAGGTTCCTGGCAATTATTACTAATACTTTAATATCACACAAATCAACAAGGACAACTACAAAACTGGAATAGTATTTACCAAATTAAAAAAATAATATAAAATATAAATAAAGTGAATATTTGTCTCACCAATTATGTATACCTACGTATTCTTTACCTATACTCCTTTAATCAGCATTAAAAGTTGAATATTTACTGTCTTGTCCAGTGTCCTGCAGAGTGTGCTCCTCGGCTGCCATACACGCCAGCTTCCTCTTTAAAATGATTTGTACTGTTAGCTTGGCAATACCTGCATCAGCAGCTCAACCATTTATAAAGAAACAACATACAAGGAAGGCTGAGCTGAGGAATGCAGATGTTTATGGTAAGAAGGAACAAAAAATGTAATTCATCATTCCTAAGGCAAACAATTAATAAGAAAAATACATTTACTGTTAGTGAAAAATACAAATGGTAATCCATACTTCATGGAACTAAGGGCTTCTTCCATGGGGAAAATGGACTTAACATTCAGATGTTGACAATTTCTAAAGGCAGCTTATCTTGTCATCTACAGTCTGAATTGAAATTCAGGAATCCAGTGGGTGCATAGTCAGGAAATAAAATTCTGTAATTTATTTTTTTCTTGGAGAATTTAATGAGATTTTATAATGCAAACTATATGAAGATTGCTTGATGGTTTGGGCAGTGTTCAGATCACAGCATACATAGTCAAATGATTTTAATATTTGGAAAGACTGTCAGAGGGTTGTGTCCGTGTAAAAAAAAATTGTTAATATGAAACAAAAAGCACATGAAGAGAAAAAAATCTTCCTATGATTAATAACTCGCTACAAGACAGCACCATTACTCCAAAAATATCCTCATAATTCAAAGCACAGATACAAGTTTCATACATTCAATTGTATATAGTTGGTGATATCCACCAGACATGTGTATCTAGTTAAAGACAGCAAACAGAAAATACATTTGAAAAGCTAAACTAACTAGAAAACAGAGATTAGCATCAACTTGTCCACAATAATGCCAAGACTAAAAATAAAAATGACAATAAGCATTTATTTTGGATCAGATATTTAAATTCAAGAAAATATATCTACAGGATTCCCTGTAGCACACACCAATTGAATTCACATTCATTATGCAAACTATGTTGAGGGACACCCAGTGCTGTAAAGTAATTTGCCTTGAGTGTTTTAGTGATTTTTTAACAAGTTTTAGGATCCTGGAGTAATCAGTGCAAATAAGCCATAAAGCTTCAGTAGCAAATTACTGTCTCACAGAAAGACATTTTCAACTTCTGCTCCAGCTGCTGATAAAAACAAATCATGTGTTTAGCTTGACTCCAGACAAGGACAACCTGTTCCTTCATAACTCTCTAGAGAAAAAAAGGAGTTGTTAGTAGATACTAAAAAGTGGATGAATAATCTGGACATTTTTTCCTAAAAAGATTCTTTGAAACACATTAAGAAAATGGAGGGCCTTATGATCAGAATGCTAGAATTAGTCCATTGTGTCGAAGCAGAATTTGGGGTAAGGGGTTAGGGATAAAAGAAGGAAAAAGAGCAAGAAAACCTATTTATCAAAAGCAGGTGCTCTCATCACTCAATATTAGGCCCTGCTCTTTTTAATCTGACTGAAGGCAAAAAGCCTCTCACAGTCTAGGTGATAAGAGTGATAAACAGAAAAGAATACATAACCACAGGTGGATTTTAACCTTTTACCTTTACCACTCCCTGTGTCCCCCCACCCTCCCAAAAAAGAATGTAAGTCCTGCAGCCATGGCAAAAGTTTCAAACACTTCTCAAACATGTAAGCCAGTTCCATTAAATCGAAGTTTCCTTGAATACGTTTTATGAAAATAACTTTTAAATATCAGTCAGCACTTCTCAATAGGCTAAAAAATTAACTTTCGCAGCAATGTTAAGTTTAGATGAGAAAGGAATTAGTCTGTATTCCATCTCTTTCTGAACTGAGCAGGAGGCACACCCGACACTGAAAGTTTTGCCATGGACTGTCTCTACTTTCCAAACGACCGAGCGTTACCTCTCTGGCTTTTTGTGCTGCAAGCTCAGCTTGTCTCTGTCGCTCGAGTTCTTCGAGCAACTGCTTTTCCATGATGCGTTTGGCTTCCTCCACCCTTCGAAGAACTTCTCGCTCGATTTCATCCTTCCTTTTCTCTAATTCTTCCTCTACCCTTTTTGCTACCAATTCTTCCACTCTTCGTGCTGTTTCTTCCTCGATGAGTTTTTCTTCAATTTCCTGCTGCCGGCTAGCAAATAAAGTGGAAAAAATGACTTAGATAAAATAAGGAATAAACCTAAAAATTAAAACTAGTTACAAACCTATAAAACATTGAGCCTGATTATAGGTTTCTCTGATTTTACAATTCAATTTCATGTAACATTCAAGGAAATAATAGATGCCAAGATGTTAAGTGATGTAGAAATTCAAATATAAAACCATGATTTCCCCCTTTCGTTTTCTGAACACAAAAAACTACTATATACAAACAGCTTAATTCATCAGTTTTTTAGAAATGTACAGCAAATCTGAAATAGGAAATCCACTTTTGTTACCAACTTTACAACCAAAAGACAAACCAGAAATACACAAATTTGCTCATCTGCCAATCCACCCAGTCTAAATAAGGTTTGAGCTACAGAAAAATCAGGAACAACCATTATGTAGCAAGCAATTCAGACCGGCAAAAGTCATTTTCCCTCTTCTTCCCCCTCAAGCAAAATCAGAATAAATATAGACTCAAAGAGATTCTGACTGCTAAGGCAGCAGCTATGTAGCTTTTAGTGAACATAAAGACCACTTTATTCAGGTTCTCAACTCTATACACTTTATTGTACCTTTTCTTTTGTTAACTAATTTTCAATTAAAAGGTCTTCCAGAGATGGAAAAGTGGGTAAAAAAATTGTATTTGTCATCAGTTCTATTAAAAAGCCCAATTAAGCATGCTTTAATTATTTAATACCATTTGGATATTATGAGCCAACAATTTTACTTCTAATCAAAGTAAAATTCTGCACTGAAAATACTGTCAATGATCACATCATTATAGAGGAAACCTTGCAAGTTTTATACCACTGGTATTCAATGATAGCCTCACATGTGGTCTAGTTTGACCTAAAGGTTAAAATACAAAAGATCTCATTTTGAGAGAGATGGGAAATATATTAAAATTAATTTCACTGGTTTCTTTCTGTTTAATGAAGACTTTATAGTTTCTAAGTGACCATTAAACACCCAATTCACTTCAATCCTATTGGTATTTTGGGGGGTGATTCTATTCCCAAACTAGTGCTTTCATTTTCAACTCTTGTTACTTATTCACAGTAATACCATCCTAACACCAGTATATTTTTCACATTCTAGTTTATGTCAATTTCTGCATTTAAACTCTACATTTTTTTTTGTCAAGGAGACAGTAGCTATTTGAGCAAGCATAACTTCTTAGTTTCTACATATCTACAATACCTAGAAGAAAACTATTGCTTATTTCTCTCCCTTTTTAGATAATTTATTTATTTTAGACATAGGAGAAATGAGGGAGAAAGAGAAGGAAAGAAACATCAACGTGTGGATCCCTCTCATGTGGCCCCCCACTAGGGACCTGCCCACAACCCAGGCACAGGCCCTAGACTGGGAACTGAACTGGTGACCCTTTGATTTGCAGGCCATCGCCAGTCAGGACTGCTGCTTGTTTGTTTCTTAGTAATTCCTCCCCACCATTACATTAGCAATTTTTATTTAAAAAATATACTAAAGCCTAACAGGCTGTACCTATAACTCTTTTCTTTTATTCCTTTTAAACTTGCAACAAAATACAGCATTAGTGTCCTTTTAAAAAGCCTTTATAGCACCTCAGTAAGAGAACAGATACCTACCCCAATACTAAAAATAGCCAGGAATATCTAAAGGAAATCAGGCAGTAATTTCAATGGAAATTAAACTACATTTCCTATAGCAAAGTTTTATCCAGAAAAAAACAAAAACAAAAGATAAAACAAGTAAGACTAACAACTGCTGAACCAGAATGATGGGTATATAGGACTACATGCCCATCTACTCTGTACTTTTGCATTAAGTTGAAAAGTTTCCTAACACAGAATTTTAGAAGTATATACACCCACACATTTTGCTACTTGGTTCTTATGAAATTAGTAAATGTACAGAAACCCAAGAAACTTTATTTTAAAATTTCAAAAATGATAAAGCTCAACTCCTAAATATAAAAGTTCCAATTATCATTTTTCATATAAAGTAAAAAAAAAAAAAAAAGGGAAAAAATGGGATAAGGCTTTAGGTTAGCTTACCAGCAGAAAAGTTGCCAAATTAACTTAGGTCAAAAAAGACCTGATACATATTCAGGGTTTTTGTCAACCAATCCCTAAGCCACAGCAATAAGCACAATGGCTAATAGGGCCACATTTCCACAATAAGTATGTAAGCAAGCAAGCAAGCAAGGAGAAAAGGAGCCAAAATAAATTTAGTTTATCACTTACAGCACAAAGCCAGGTCAGCATGGTATTAGCTTCCCATGTCTCTGTTCCCACTGATGGATACCAATTAACAGGGGCTGGATGACAGACAGTACAAGCACAGTGGTGGGTTGCTCTGCTGCTAAGAAGTCAATTCTAACTATAGGTCAGCAGTTTTATATCTAGAGGGGAGGGCAAGTGGAAAGTCCCAAGCTCAACTGAACAGGGAGGATGAGAAATGGCCTACTGGAGTTTCTCACAAGACTGCTTATCTTCCTTTGTTCCTGGAGGACTATGCTTATGCCTTGCTTATGTGTCCTGCTGAGAGACAGGCAAGGTCAGAGCCCCACAAAAGAACTGTTACCCTACAAGTATTACCAAGAATATAATTTTTATTGTTGTTATTCTTGGTGAGGTTATAATTGCTACTCCTGTAAATCAGAAAAAAATTTTAAATCAATTTTTAGATCCAGTGTTGAAAAGTTAAATATTGCTTCAATTCCCCTCCCCACACATACTAAATTCAGAAAACCAATGGGCACACGTACAACTGTTAAGCATTAGTTAATTTCTATTGATCACAAATTTATCACAATGAATGATAAAGCAGCTATTAGGCTGATTTTTTATAAGAGGCACAGGAACTTTCTTAAAAAAACAAAACAAAACAAAAACTTGGTATCTTACAAAATATGTATCATCTACTACCACTGACTATCCACACCCTAAAACTTCTGCGTAGGTGTCTGTCTCTAGAAGTTCTTCTATCTCTCTAATCTTTTCCTCAGACTCTTCTGTTGAATCTATTTCCTTGCCAACATTTCATGCCACTGACTAAAAGGTTGGATTAAAATCTTCAAGTTTTTCAATGGAAATGGTGTAACAGGAGGTCTCCATTTTCTCCACGCTCTCAGTTGTTTTAAAAACACTAGTGAAAATCAATTTTAAAATGGCAACTATTAAAACAAAGCAGCAACGACAAAACTGCACTGGTAAAGGACAGAATGACTTTGTACAGAGCAGCTTGCAACAATATTCTTTTAAAATGTATGAACTCAACCCTAGGAGCTTCCTTCTAGGAATTGCTTTAAAATTAGCAAACAGCATTTAGTAAGTACTGAATAGATACTAAATACTCTGCCAACAACTTTATACACCATGTCATCATTTACACCTTTGACAGTTCCTGAGGCTAAGCAGTTCACTCACTGGGCTCCACCTCATTCATGTTGCTGAGAGGTGACTCTCTACCTGGGGAGATTCCAAAGCCAATGGTCTTTAAGCACTATACTACCCTTCATTGTTTCTCCAGGGTGAATGTGAGAGGCAAAGACATACACAAAGACTTAAATATCAAAATAATTATTTTAAAATGTATAAAATTCTTATCAACACTTAGCTAGATTTCTAACCTCCCCAAAACACATAGTTCCATCTACTAAATCTGCTCATAAATGGTACTCTTTGCTCTCACAATAAGCTCTTTGAGTAGTCTTTGAATAAACCCTATACAGATCTCCAGGGTCAGTTTATATATTCTAACTTAGAAGACCCTCAATCTGTCATATAGTTAAACACTAAGCATACTTCAATCTGGGTACCACAGGCTACATTAAGTTACTATGCCATTAACATTTCCTGATTTGCTTCAAGTCATTTTCAGCTGTCCACTTTTTCAACAGTTAATACACAGCATCTCAAAAAATACACATGGAAATGATAAGGATACACAGAAGAGAGAGGGAACCACACTAAATTGCTGGGACACAGGGGGGAGAGGTAGAGGTTCTGAACTGAATTTAACCATGTGAATTAGCTATGCAAAAATGGAAAAAAAAATTAAAAAATTTTAAGGTCTGCCCTTTACTGCATTAAGATTGCAACTTGTAAGATCAATTCTTATATTCACCAGGCTTAATCTGACTGCATTTACATAAGTTATATTAAGTAACATTATTTATTGAGGTCCATTATACAAGCATTGTCTTCAAACTTTAAATGCACTATTTCTAATCTTCACAATAAGTAAGACAGGTCTCTCCATTTCACAAGTAAAAAATCAAGCTCACAGGTAGGTGACCTATACAGGGCCCCAGAATGGTTAAGTGGCAAGCAATCTGGTTTCCAAACTTACCACAGAGTTTTTTTTTAATTCATTAAACCCAACAGAAGATTCTAATTTTGCTGTCTGTCTCCATCTCACACTGGATTTCTTGAAGGTACACTTGACACTCACTACATTTTCTTGTGGTACCCATTCTCAGCTTCCACCTTCTGCTTGTCTTCTTCCATCCAACTGTAAATACAAACTTTCCCTAAAGTTCTTTCAGTTTATTGAACCAACTGCTCTTCTCCATCCATTCTCCCTGGATCATTCTATTCTTAAGGTTTCACCCTTATCTGTTCCCTATATCAACCTAGGGTAAAACCACTATGTCTAAAAATCAGTGCCTACCTACAGTGCAAGGGTCAGGCTTTGATTTTTCCCTCTCCCCTCTCCACTGGGTTTCTGACATTTTAAGCAGTGTCTGAGATACAGTAGTTACTTAAATATTTGGTGGCTGAGTTGAAATAACCACAATATAAACGAGAGTCAGTATTATTAATGCTTTCTGTCCTTATGTTTTACATCCAATTTTATTGGTTCTAAATGTTACCTATTTCTGCCCTTTTCCATTTCAACAACTGCTCCCTCACTACTCCTGTGTGGACTAGTTTCTATCCTGTACAGGAATCTATGTTTTTAAAAAGTCCCATGCCAGTTTCATGCTTAAAGCCTTTCCAGTTTTTAGGATGAAATCAAAGCTCCTTAATATAGCATACAACCCTTCTCGTGACTCCCAGCCTCTACTTTATCTCTCCAGTAACTCCATCACTTTAACTTAACATTCACCCTTTTACTCTACACTAGACCATTCTGTCCCCCTCCCTTTATTTCTCCTTTCGTCCACAGGGGACCCCCTACACCTAGCCTGACAATCTATTTTATTTGCCACTCATTCCTTAAGAAAACTAGTGTTTACCCATCCAAGATGCTTCCTGTCTACAGTCACATCACCACCAATGAATTTACCACACCACTATTTGCACCTACCTACATATCTATCTTCAAGGTAGAAAAAGATCTTGGACAGGGATCAGTCATCTTTATATAAACAGCACCTAACAGAGTGCATGGCACACTAAATGCTCAATAAACTGAGCAATGAATTGGTTAGTTGTGTGAACTAACCAATAGGGATTTACAAATAGACAACTTTTGCCCACTCCCATGGCTCCAAAACATAGGTCTTTCCCTTGTGTCCTCTGCATTATTTCTAAGATTTTAGACCATATAAAGTAGTGTCTACTTCATGGTACCCACAAATTCAGTTTACAGGTGGTTGCTAGCTCTACCCCTTTCTTCCTTCATAAATGCTAATGGTAGTTTACTTCTCCTGTCAACTTGGAACTACATACCTGCTCTATTTCCTGATTTTCATCCCTGGATTTCTTCTGTTAATTATGTGTAGCTCGCTAAATAGTTCCAATTATTCTTAGCATACCAGGTTTCCTTTCACTTTTCCTACAAATCTTAGCTTTCTAGTGAATGGAAAGTTTCTTTGAAGGTCTTTTTCACACAAATTATGAGATAGGTTAATTTTTTAAAATGTTCATCTGCTGATATTTGAGAGCTACATCTTTACGGTTAATCTTGTTCCAAACCAAATAACCGAATTCTATATAATCAAGATTTGTTGTAAAACATTTAGTGTACTCGGTTTTCATACGTATCGCTGACAGTTCTAAGACATAAAGGAAAGATGAAAGCATTGTGCGTACTTTGAAGGAATGCAGCAAAATACCTCTTCAGGTAGTGCTTCCTCTATAATATTACTTACTGTTCCAGTCCCTTCCTCTTTAGTAGATGCTCTTAGAAACAAGCTCTGCTGAAAAATCTACATAATACAAACCCAACTGCAGGAAAATTTAAAACCCACCAGACAATTCAATACACATAAATTTGTCTCAGGAACGTTTTATATTCAATAACTTTCCTGTCTCAGGAGTCCTTTCTAAACAAACATTCACTGAAGAAGTGAGGAAGATCACTAGTCAAATAAGGGAAGTGAGCACATCTGTTTTACTACCTTTCAACATTAACTGTGGAAAAGGAATGTCCAGAGTAGAGTACCATGATCTTAAAACAAAACTAAACACTACATTTTAAAACCAAAAGTTCATTAGTTTGGGATTATTTACACTTACTCTGGTATAAAAAGATACAGGAGAAATACATTTTACCCAAACAGTGTGTGATAATAAGTTTTCTTACATAAAAATTCTGAGCGTAAGCAATGCAAAAATGAACTCAAATATTCAAGTGTTTTCTAAACAGCCAGTACACTACAAGGGGAAGCAAATATCAAGTTTACACCAAAGTTTGCTACAGAATAATAGAAGTCAAAGTTAAAAAGTAGTAAAAAAAGGTAACTTTGGTATGGTGGTTAATCCGGTGAATTCAAGCATTAAATTTCATCCTACTGTACACTTAAGGTATGTGCATTGTTTTTACACCACGAGTAGGTCCAAGAAAAGAAAAGCGACCGTGACATTTTAAACAGGAATACATTAAAGAAAAATTCATTTTGGAGGGTTGTATTGTTGGACCACCTAAAAGTGTCTTATTCCGGGGAAGCCCAGTCCCAAATTTAAGCTGCAGTACAAGAATGCTCTTGGCAAATGCAATTTGCATCCCAAGGGTTAACTTCTCTTTGCTCTTCTCCAGAGGTACTGCAAATGTTCTCCGAACACGTCTTCCTGGTGGCTTATCCCCCGTCCTCCGGCCAACGCCACTCTCTAACCCCACCGCGAACTCCACCCGCTACTTCCGGCACACTCTACCCCTCTCGCGCCAAAATCGCTTTCTCCCTCTAAGGTTTTCCTGCTCAAGCCCCACTAGTTTCCTCCCCACCCAATTCGTAGGTGTGTACGGCCGCAGCCTTTCCACAAGCCAGTTCTGGAGCCTCTCTGGCGGGTTTCAGCGACCCTCCAACCTCCCTCTCGAACCCCCACTAACCCAGAACCCCCATTTCCCACTCCCCGCGCCCAAGCTCACTCCCCGGTTTCCGCCCCTCCCCCGCGGGCGCTCACATCTTTCGCTGCCGCTCGAATTCTGCTTTCTTCTCCTCCTCTTCTCGCTTCTGCTTCTCGTCCAGGCTGCTGCGCTTGCTCACCGTGCGCCCGAAGATGTCGATGCGGTCGGGCGGGGACGAGGCGCGCTCTCGGTCCCGCTCGCGCCGGGACACGGCCGTGTTGGTGGAGCGCGAGCGGGACCGCGACTCACGCCGCCGATTCCGTTTACTTTCCCGGGATTTGGAGCGCTTCCGCACGCGCTCCTTATCTCGGGACCGCGATCGAGACCGGCTCCGCTTCTTGTTGTGTTTGCTGCTCTTGGTGTGTTTGGAGCGGGACGAGCTCCGGCTCCGAGACCGGCCCATCCTTCCGGGCGACGCTGTGGCTAACCGCTGGCCTCGGGCCCCGCACGCTCCTGGAAACTCTCACCCGCGCCTCCAGACAGAGGTTGGCCGTCTTGTTGAAGCCGGGGTAAGGAAAACTGTCAGCCAGCTGACTTTCTATCACTCAGCGAGGTGGACAGCCGCAACGAAGGCCGCCTGCAAAGACAAGGCCGCACCACCAAGGATCGCTAAGATGGCAGCCGAGACTGCACCGGCCGCCCTTCCCACAATGCCTCGCACGAACAGCGCCACCGCGCGAGCCCCGCCCTCTGACGATTTTTGGCGAAAATGAGGCAAGCAGATCCGAGTGCGCTCGGTTTTTTCCCCCCCGCCTCCCGCCCCCCCGCGGCTCCCCCAACGCTACGCTGAGAGCGGAAGTCCCTCGCTTCTGTTGTAGCGCACTTTAACTTTGTGGTAAGATGCCAGCACTCTAAGAATGAACCTATTACGTTTTGGTGCGAACGAGATCGTGGTGCGGCACGAACTGGTTTTGTCAGGCAGACCTAAATTACATCAGAGTGAGCCCGAGCAGATCACGTGCTTTTTAAGCCTAGCTTCCTCATTTAAACAGTGGGGATTAATTACCGTGCTTTATGAGATAGATTTTCGTAAGTTTTACAAGAGATAAAGTAGGCTTTGCTAAGTGGAAGCCTATGTTTAATATAAGCCTTCAGGTATCAAGCGTTGTACTAAATGCTGTCATTTATTAACTGGTGTTTAATTCTCATTTTAGGGATGGTTGCTCCGAAGTCCAGAAGGTAAAGTTGCCCAGGTCCCACACCTAGCAGGTGGCAGAGCAGGAGTGTGCAAAATCTATTCAGATAACCGGTAGCCCACCAACCCCTAGCCAGCAATGGTATAACCCTATATGGTACAACAAACTGTCACTGCCCTGAACAAACAATGACCTTTTAAAAGTGAAATAAAAACATTTTCTCCACAAGGCAACAAAAACAATAAAATACTTAAGAATCAAATCTAACAAGTTACAAGACCCTGATGATGAAATCCCTCAACATTTGTTGAAAGGCGAAAACAAGACCTGAGTAAATCGAAAACATGCCCATTTTTTTGGGTGAAAACTCAGTATCAAAAATGTGCTAGTCCTTCCCAAATTAAATTACAAAATTGGCACAATTTCCATCAGAGTCCCAAATTCTCTTGGGGATGAGTTACAACTAACTAAATAATTTTAAATTTTATGTAGAAGATCGCATAGTTGTGAATTATCAAGAAAACCTTGAAAGAGTAGTGTTTGCCCTGTAAAAAAAAAATTAGACACAAAGGTATTAGCACAAAAATAGCAAAATAATCAGTGTAGTAGAAGGATAATCTAGTCTTTTTCTTCAGATACATTGAACTAAAATAACATTTAATAATTTACAATGTTGCCCTGGCTGGTGTAACTCCGTTGAAGTGTCATGCCGTAAACTGAAGTGTTGAGGGTTCCATCCCAGGCAGGGCACACCCCCAGGTTTTGGGTTCTGTACCCCACTGGGATGTGCCTATGGTGGCAGCTGATGGATGTTCCTCTCTCATGTCAATATATCTCTCTCTTCCTCTGCCTCTTCATTCCTCTCTCCCTAAAAGCAATGAAGAAGTATCCTTGGATGAGGATAAAAAAACAATTAGATGTGTAGAATCATCCCATTATACTGGAAATCTTTTGGTCAACCTATTGTATATGTTGTGCATATACACTTACATACATTTATACTCACATGTTTGAATGATGCCCATCAAATAATAAGGACAGTTTTTCCAATTAGTTGGTATATTGGTTTCCTAGAGGACTTCAAACTGATGTAAAATAGCGTATCTTAGAGTTCTAGGGTCCAGAAGTCCAAAATCAAGATGTCAGCAAGGTTGATTCTTTAACAGGCTCTGAGGAAGAATCTGTTCCATGCCTCTCTCTTAGCTTCTGGTGGTTGCTAACAATCCTTGGCATTTCTGGATGTTCCATGGCTTCCATTCTAGTCTCTGTCTTCACGTGGTATTTACCATGTGTCTGTCCTCTTTTTCTGGGATGCAAATAATTAAATTAGGACCCAAAATAATCCAGTATGACCTCTGTTAACTTAATAACAACTGCAAAGACCCTATTTCCAATTAGGTCACATGAATTTTTGAGGGGAGTACTATTCAATCTGCTACATTTGGGTTTTTAAAAAACCTTTTTTCTTAGAATTTTTTGCATGTCATGAATTCTTCTCAATAAGCATATGTTTTATGAAAAGAATAAAGGGAAAGGCCATGGCAGGCTAGTTCATGCTGGATAGTATGTTACAGTGTCACCCAGATATCAAGGTTGTGAGTTTGGTCAGCTGTCAGGGCACATTCCAGAATCAACCAATAAATGGATAAATAAGTGGAGCAAAAAATTGGCGCTCTCTCTCTCACTCTCTCACTCTGCCTGCCTCTCTTTCTCTCTCTCTCTCTCTCTCTCTCTCTCTCTTACACTCTCTCACTCTGCCTCTCTCTCTCTAAAATCAGTTAATACATTTAAAAAAAATTATTATTGTTCAATTACAGTTGTCCCCATTTTAACCCTTCCCCCATTACTCTCCCCTTCTGTACCAACTACACACCTTCCACTTTCAATCCTTCCCCCAGTTGTCTTTGTCCATGGATCCTTTATGCATGTTCTTTCACTGACCCTTCCCCTTCTTTCCCCCATGACCCCCCTCCCACCTCCCCTCTTGTCACTGTCAGTTTGTTGTTTATTTTCATGACTCTGGTTCTACTTTGCTCACTTATTTGTTTTGTTGATTAGGTATCACTTATAGGTAAGATCATATGTTATTTATCTTTGACTGCCTGACTTATTTCACTTAACATAATACTCTCTTGTTCATTCCATGCTGCTGAGAAGAGTAGAAGTTCCTTCTTTTTTCTGCTGTGTAGTATTCCACTGTGTAGTATCACAGTTTTTTGATCCACTCATTTACTGATGGGCACTTAGGCTGTCTCCAGCACTTGGCTATTGTAAATTGCAGTGCTATGAACATTGGGGTTCATAGGTTCTTTTGAATTGGTGCTTCAGGATTCTTAGGGTAGAATCCCAGCAGTGGAATTGCCACGGCAAAAGGCCGCTCCATTTTTTGTTTTTTGAGGAAATTCCATGCTATATTCCATTTTCCATCAGTCTGCATTCCCACCAACAGTGTACTAACTAGGGTTCCCTTTTCTCCACAATCTCTCCAGTACTTGTTTGTTGATTTATTAATGATGGTCATTCTGACCAGTGTGAAATGTTATCTCATTGTGGTTTTACTTTGCATCTCTGTGATGGCTAGTGACGTTGAGCATTTCTTCATATGTCTCATGGCCCTCTGTATGTCCTTCTTGGAGAAGTGTTTGTTGAGGTCCTCTGACCACTTTTTAATTGGATTTTTTATCCTCTTCGTGTGGAGCTATGTGAGTTCCTTGTATATTTTGGAAATCAAATCCAAGGTGTCATTGGCAAATATATTTCTGCATACAGTTGGTTCCCTTTTCATTTTGCTGATGTTTTCTTTAGCTGTGCAGAAGCTTTTTAATTTAATGTAGTCCCATTTGTTTATTCTTTCCTTTATATCCCTTGCTCTAGGGGACATATCAGTGAAAATATTGCTGTGTGGAATATCTGAGATTTTCCTGCCTATGTTCTCCTCTAGGACTTTTCTGGTGTCACAACTTATATTTAAGTCTTTTATCCATCTTCAGTGCATATTTGTGTATGGTGTAAGTTAGTGGTTGAGTATCACTTGTTTGCATGTAGCTGTCCAGATCTCTGAACACCATTTGTTTAAAGAGGCTATTTTTGCTCCATTTTATGCTTCCACCCCCTTTGTCAAATATTAATTGACCATAGAGACATGAGTTTATTTCTGGGCTCTCTATTCTGTTCCATTGGTCTAAGTGTCTGTTCTTATGCCAGTACCAAACTGTCTTGATTACAGTGGCCTTGTAATGTAGTTTGATATCAGGTATTGTGATCCCTCCTACTTTGCTCTTCTCTCTCAAAATTGCTGAGGTTATTCGGGGTCATTTATAGTTCTATGTAAATTTTTGAAATGTTTGTTTTATATCTGTGAAATATTTCATTGGTATTTTAGTAGGGATTGCATTGAATCTATAAATTGCTTTGGGAAGTATGGACATTTTGATGATGTTAATTCTTCCAGTGCATGAACAATGTATATGCTTCCATTTATTTGTATATTCCTTAATATTTTTCTTCAGTGTTCTGTAGTTTCCCGATGACAGGTCTTTTACCTCCTTGGTTAGGTTTATTCCTAGGTACTTTATTTTTCTTATTACTATATCAAATGGATTTTCATTCTAATTTTTATTTCTGATATTTCATCATTGGTATACAAAAATGCCTGCAATTTCTCAATGTTGACTTTGTAGCCTGCTGCTTTGCCAAATTCACTTATTAGATTAAGTAGTTTTTTGGTGGAGTCTGTAGGATTTTCTATGTACACTATCATGTCATCTGCAAACAATAACAGTTTTACTTCCTCCTTTCCAATTTGGATGCCTTTTATTTATTTTCTCATGTTATTGCTGTGACTAAAACTTCCAATACTTTGTTGAATAGGAGTGGTGAAAGTAGACATCCTTGTTTTGTTCCTGATCTAGTGGGAAAGCTTTTTGTTTTTGACCATTGAGTATGATGTTGGCTTTAGGTCTCTCATATATAGCCTTTATTTTGTTGAGATATGCTCCCTCTACTCCTACTTTGCTGAGTGTTTTTATCATAAATGGGTGCTATACCTTACTAAATGCTTTTTCTGCATCTATTGATATGATCATGTGATTTTTGTCTTTCCTTTTGTTTATGTTGTGTTATGTTTACTGACTTGCTAATATTGTACCATCCTTACATTCCTGGGATGAATCCCACTTGATCATGGTGTATGATCTTTTTAATATACTGCTGGATGTGGTTTGCCAATATACCATTGAGGATTTTAGTGTCTATGTTCATCAGTGATATTGGCCTGTACTTTTCTTTCTTTGTTGTGTCTTTATCTGGTTTTGGGATTAGGATGATGCTGGCCTTGTAAAAAGAGTTTGGGAGACTTCCTTATTCTTGGATTTTTTTTGAATAGTCTGAGAGGGGTAGGAGTTAGCTCTTCCTTAAATGTTTTGTAAAATTCTCCTCTGAAACCACCCAGTCCATGGCTTTTGTGTGCTGGCAGTTTTTTTGATTACTGCTTCAATTTCACTAGCTGTTATGGATCTGTTCAGGCTT